CTCCAGTCATGATGCCCAGAGGCCATCCCTGTGAGGTCATCTCATGACAGGCTCAGGCCACTGCGGATGTCCTTCAGAGGTTCTTGGGCACTTATCAGCCTGGGAAGGTGAGCACCATATGCCCCAGATTGGACATTGGCTTGCTCTTTCTCTCCTGGGACCGAATTTCAGTGTGGTCGGGGCACCTGGGCAAGGATTGTATGTCTGCTGTCCTTCACTAGGCACTCCCTTCAGGTTCTCCCCAGCTCTGGGAGTTGATGAAGCCAGAGTTTGGAGTGCTGGAGTGACATAGGACACTGATGTCCGTCCAGTCCCACTGGGCGCCAGAAAACCATCTGAGATATCGCTGAACGTGGGGACATTTGCTGAGGTCAGGGGGACTTTCTGGACAAGGTCTTGTAGTATATGCAGTCCCTTAGTAATGCAAGTCTTTTTTTTTTTTAATACCTTTTTATTTGGGGGTAATTCTAGACTTACAGAAAAGTTGCAAAGAGTTGTCAAAACCAAGAAACTGACATTGGCATGCTACTACTAACTAAACTCCAAATTTTATTTGGATTTCACCAGTTTGTCCGTTAATGTCCTCTTTGTGTTCTAGAATCCGATCCATATCCTAAACAGCATTAATTGTCATGTCTCCCCAGTCTCTTCTGATCTGTGACAATTTCTCAGTCTTTCCTTGTTTGTCATGGCCTTGATGGTCTTGAAGACTGGCCAGGTGTTATAGAATGTCCACCAAACTGATTTTGTCTGCTGTGTTTCTCATAATTTAGACTGGGGTTCAGACCTTGGGTTTTGGGGGAGACTACAAAGAGGAGAAGTGCTATATTGTCACATCACATCATGGCATATGTGACATCAGTACGTCTTACCACTGGTTATATTAGTCCTGATCATTCGATTAATGTTGGGTTTGCTAAGTTTCTGCATGGTTTTCCCCTTTCTGGACTCTTTGGAATTGAGTTGCTAAGTCTAGCCCACTCACAAGGAGGACAGGGCAATAAGCTCCACTTCCTGAAGAGAGTATCTATGTGTATTATTTGGAATGCTTCTGTGAGGAATATCTGTCTCTTCTCTCTTCATTTTCTTATTAAATCATTTATTTACATCAGTGTGGACTCACAGATATAATTTTATGCTTTGGGTTATCATCTAATACTATGTCATTTCTTTTGTTGCTTAAATTGTTCCAGATTTGGCCACTGGGAGCTTCCTTCTAGAATTTTCACGGACTGTCTCATCTTGTTTGTGCCAATAAACCACTTTCCTAGAGTAGAAGCTTGAGAGTAACTCTTGAAGGATTTTAAGCCGACAGAGTGCCACCTCTGGTTGACCTCGCACTCTGGTCTGTAGAGCTCAAGCTCACAGGGGACACGGGCAACACACTGTACAACCCCACAGCTACTCACTGATGTTTCTGGATGGGCTATTAAGTCCAAGCTCCTCTTGGGACCAGGTTCTCTTATGGAAGGGGGGCGAGTCAGGGCCAAGGCTGGACCCACTGGGAGTCCAGAAGGTGCCCAGGAATTTGCAGGGGTGAGAAGGGGTGAGAAGGAAGCAGGTGACATGATTGTACATTGGAGTGTTATTGGAGTCCTGAGACTTCCCTGGGAGGGTGTGCTTCAGGGCCCAAGAATGGTGTCCACCCATCCTTGGGTGCTCAATCCAGAGACTGCAGCAGTTAAGGTGTTCAAGAGGCTCTAGTTGGGCCCAGCACCCCATACTTATCTCCAGGACTTAAACTTAGGCCCAGGAAAGGCTGGATGATCCTTTGTCAACCTGTAGTGGTATAGACTTGTCCTTGACCCCTCCTGTGATTGGGAGAGTACTGCACTTGGAGCCAGGATAGGTTGGGGGGAAGGAGTAGCAGGAAACAGGGGCCACAGTTGGGACTGGGACAACAGAGCACTTGGCTCAGGGTGGAGTCACTTAGAAATGTGAGCTCCAGTTGGTCTTTGGCAAAGGAAAACCACATCCTCTCCAGAAGGCTTTCAGCCCAAGGGCTGAAGGAGTCACATGTGCCAGGTCCCTGCCCACAAGCCTTTGGAGCTCCTAGGAGGGGTGTGGGTGAGGCTCAGGGAGCTGGTAGTTTAAAAAGCAGCAGAAACGCTGCCCTGAGCAGAACATTCTGGTGGTTGGCACTATGAAGGGGACACTGCTTGTGCTGGCCTTGCTGGTGACCCAAGAGCTGGGCATCGAGATGGGTGAGAGTAGGAAAGAGGGACAGATGGCCTTCCTGATCCTCGCCTCGCTCTGTCTCACTCCCTCACCCCCCCCCCCCCCCCGTGGTGATCTCCAAGTAGCTTCTAGGGACAGAGTTAGGGGGCAGCTGGGAGATTGTTGCCCACGGGTCCTGCATAAACCCTCTGAGGTTTTCAGGCATGGACTGGAGGGAGAGGTTTGGAGGTGGAGGGGTCCTTAGTTGTGCACACAGTAGGGGAGAGTTTGTTGGGGGTAGTGGGGCTTAACGGAAGGTCAGAAGCAGGTGGGCTGGTATGTGTCAAGGTGCAGTCTGGGGCGCCTCACACTGTTCCCCTCTGCTGAGAGTGCCTCCTGGAAAATGGTTTCTGTGTCTGGGATGTAAGCAGTCCTGGGAGTGGGTAGGTCTCCGTGGAAGGTGAGTCAGAACACCCTGGATATGTGAATTCCTGTCAAGTGGTGGGGAAACAGGAGCCGCCTACCCTGGTGATTCTTTTGTCGAGGTGTTTTCTGTTTGTGTCTTCAGTGAAATCTTACCCTATTTTTTATGTAATCTTTGGTGCCGTGGCCGCTGGAGGGAAGTTACCGCTGGACGCCAGCCTTGATCTAGTCAATGCCACTGAACCAGAAAAAGTAGCCATGGAGAAAATCCAGGATTGCTACAATGAGAAGGGACTCAAAGCCAAGGCCTTGGATCTGACTGTCATGGTAATTTACTGTCCTTTCCCCCCATCCCCACCCTACTGCCACACATGCAGCATATTGTAATAGTGCACATACAAATAGACCGCGCAGTCAGGGGCTACTGGACAGATACGAGCTGTAACCAATTAAGCACATCAACTTTGCTTCATCCTGCAGCACAGAGAGTATGCAACCTCACGGCACATGCACATCCAGCCTCTTCTCCCACACGTGTCCCTCTCGTGCCAATTTACATACAGCTGGAAAATCGGGGACTGACATTGGTGCGACACAGAAAGTGTGTGACTCAGGCGATTTTTAGGAGAGCCAGCATTGCAGGAGTAGAATTTTAACTTTCGGCAGGAAAGCAAGGGTCCTTACTTTAGCTCCTGCAGGTGTAGGAGCGTACTCGGCTCTGTTTTAGGAATGTCGGAACCGACCACCTGCCCTTCTACTCTCCTCTCAGGAAGGGACTCCCTGGCCTTGTAAGGCTTCTGGTTTTTGGCCTATTTTACTGCCCACCTTGATGGCTATTCTTTGGCTCTGAGTCCCACTTCCATCTGTATCATCTCAGTGCCGAAAGCCAGAAGTTGCACTCTGTTTTTTTTGGTGCCTGGGGCCCCCAAGGCAGCTTCTAGCTACATGCACCTGCTCCCCAGGACTGGTCAGCGCATCCCCTGATGAACTGTCTTCTTCTGTCATTGTTCTTGTTGCACAGTTATGTAGATTTTGATTAGTCTGTCTCATCACTCTCTTCCCCTAAGTGCTGGTTCTGCAAAATGAGAGGTTTATGAAGAAGCAGAATTTCTTGCATTAATATAGGCGCAGAGGGCCATGAGACTGTTTACCACATCCGCATCCACATGCAATAGGTCCCACACACCTGACAGACGAGTCTCAGGGGCAGGAGACTTCGCATGGATCCATAGCCTCCATCACACCCTCCAGAATCTTCTGATCTCCTTGCCTCCCTTGCTGGTTGTTCAGACTTCCTGCTGACACCTGTGTCTGGGTGACTGGGGAGTCATCTTCATCCTCTTCTGATGGATTGCAGCTCCCTCTCCAGCCAGAGGTTCTTGCTAGGGATGGAGCTGAATCCCTGAGGATGAGGAGCAGGGTGATCCTGAGGGGATGGATCGCTCTGCCTTGCGCTCAGGTCTTCTGTCCGTCCTCGTCTTACTGTCTCCCAGGCTACTATCACCACCAGCAAGCAATGCATCTCTGAAGCAGTGGCCCCATTGAAGAATGTCATAACCTTGTTGGGGAGATGAATCTTTGCCCCAGATGCCTGATCTGAGCTCTGTCCTCCTGCTCTGTTCTTCACACCTGAAGCTGGAATGCCCATAGCTGTCCTCACCTCCTTCAGTCTCTATCAGGCTGGCTGTAATAAAATAACTGCAGCTTAGCGCTGCATGCCCCATGTCTGTGTGCTCGGCAGAGAGCGTTGAGGCCTGGCAGGAGGTCCTGGGACACAGCGAAGGGGGGGGTGACACGTGTCATTGCGAGCGTGGGGACTGGAGTCAGGCCGAATCAGGAGCAGGTGCGAGCAGTTTCCTCTTTCTCAGGCTATTCTCTCATCTGTAAAATGGGGATTCTGTGTGTGGATTAAATAGCATATATGTAAGCCCAGGATTCTCCACTCTGGATGGATAAAAATGTCCACATAGCCTATTGCTGACTCCACATTTGCCACAGTTGCAGAGCCTTTAGCCCCTTACATGTCATCCTGGTCATTGGAAGGTGAACTCAGGCGATAACCTGAGTGGGCTTATCACAAGTCCTCTCCGTCTCCCAGGGGCCTCCGCCCTTTTATGCTTCTTAGGTGGATGTCTTCTGAGGAGGCCGGCCTTTCTGCTGAGACACCCAGTTCCACTGTTGTTCTTGGGTTCTGCCAGTGGACCCAGGACCGCCATGCAATCTTGGCTCAGGAGGAGGGGAGAAAGGGAGTGGAAACTAACTCAGAGGGAATGCTGCTGTCGTGGGGAGCTGAGGCTCTTAAATCTTACTTGCAGGATGTGTCACCTGTGGCAAGTGTCATGAGCCCTCTGAGCCTAGTTCCAAAAGCATCAAATCGGCAGTAGGCTACTTATGAAGCTACAAGGCAAGGAATAGGTTTTACCTTTATTTCTTAGAGACTAGAGCAGTGTTGGGCTCCAGTGAGTATGGCTCACAGAAAAAGTAGCATAGCAGGTGACATCTCTCTACCTTCCTGGGCCAGGCAAGCACAATAAGGTCATATTGAGGGTGTTGCACTTGGGACATGCTAAGAGGCCAGGGGCTTGAGTTCTGGCTCTTCTCTGGCCTAATGGTTGAACTTAAGCATTTTAATTTACCTGTTGGCTCATTTTACAAATGGATTTTATACCTGCCAAGTCTGCTAGACTTAATATTAAGTGTTCAGGCCATACTAAAGATCTAAAATTTTATTGATAAATACAAAATAAAATTTGAATTGATAGAGGGCTAAATCATATTTTATACAGGATAAATTGACACTGTAGAAATGGAACTGGAGGGGATTATGCCAAGTGAAATAAGTCAAGCAGAGAAAGACAATTATCATATGGTTTCACTCATATGTGAAACATAAGGAATAGCACGGAGGACCACAGGGGAAGGGAGGGAAAACTGAATGGGAAGAAATCAGAGAGGGAGACAAACCGTGAGAGACTCTGGACTCTGGGAACCAAACTGAGGGTTGCGGAAAGGGAGGGGGGTAGGGAGATGGGGTAACTGGGTGATGGGCTTTAAGGAGGGCATGTGATGTGATGAGCACTGGGTGCTATATGCAACTAATGAATCGTTGAATCAAAAACTAATTACTACATGTTGGCTAATTGAACATAATAATAAAAATAAATGTCAACTAGTCCTAAATCCATCTAAATTAATTATGTTCTAATGAAGATTGATTTAAAGTTTATCCAAAAGAACACATTCTTGAAATCAAGCAAGAACATTTAGAAAATAAGTATGAGCAGGATCTTTCTCACTAGGTCTTATAACATAGGTATATATTTATGACTAATAAATAGTCTAGTTTTAGTAGATAAATAGATGGCCACTGTGATACAAAACACACAGATAGACTCAAAGAGGGGCTCCAGGGTGGCTCAGTTAGTTAAGAATCTGCATTTGGCTCAGGTCATGATCCTGGAGTTCCAGGATTGAGCTCCGTGTTGGGCTCCCCACTCAGCAGAGTCTGCTTCTCCCTCTGACCCTACTCCTCTTGTGCTTTCTCTCTCTCAAATAAATAAAATCTTAAAAAAAAAATAGAATCGAAGATAGTTTAAGATATAATAGTGACAGCTTATTGAATCATGGAGAAAGAATGGATTTTTTTTAAGTGGCATTGAACAAAATGACCAAATATTTAAGAAATGAAGATGGGCCTGCCAAGCCTTTCTCTGTGGATCAATGTGGACTAATGATTCCATTGCCATAATTTCAATAGTTAATTATCCATTTGTCATCACTGATCTCTCTCTTTCTCTCCCTCCCACCCCTTTCTTTTGACTTTCATGATATCATAGTCTGTTGGTTTTTCTCTACCTTACTGGGGGATCTTTCTCAGCTTCTTTTCTGGTTACTTCTGTCTTATACTAGGAGTAACTTTCTTTACATCTCCTTTCTACATACACTTTCTTAGTGTATGAACTTGGGACATGCTGTTTCTTTCTTAGTGATATCTACAACTTCCAAATTTAAATCTCCAAACCCAGTACTAATTTTCAAGGCACAGAATTGGCTCTCACTAAATATTTATTGAATTAATGAATATTGAAAAAACTCTAAATTCCTCCTAAGGGACAAATATACACAGAATTTAAATAAATGAAAAGACTATTGAATGGGAATTTTAACAGCATAAAAATGTCATTTCCTGGGCGCCTGGGTGGCTCAGTCATTAAGCGTCTGCCTTTGGCTCAGGTCATGATCCCGGGGTCCTGGGATCGAGCTCCGCATTCAGCTCCCTGCTCTGCGGGAAGCCGGCTTCTCCCTCTCCCATTCCCCCTGCTTGTGTTTCCTCTCTTGCTGTGTCTCTCTCTGTCAAATAAATAAAATCTTTTATTTATTTATTTATTTTAAGATTTTTATTTATTTATTCATGAGAGAGAGAGAGAGAGGCAGAGGGAGAAGCAGGCTCCCAAGGAGCAGGGAGCCTGATGCGGGACTCGATCCCAGGACTCTGGGATCATGACCTGAGCTGAAGGCAGACGCTTAACCATCTGAGCCACCCAGGCACCCATAAATAAAATCTTTAAAAAAAAATTTAAAAAAATGTCATTTCCCCCTAAAAACAGCAGTTTATTGTAATCCTAATGAAAACACCAAGAGGATTTTTTTTTTGAAGAAAAAAAGTATTTTAGGGGCGCCTGGCTGGCTCAGGTCATGAGCCCAGGGTCCTGGGGTCGGGCCCCAC